CCAGGCCTTTGGACTTTGGGACCAAAGGGCTATCAGGGTTTCATGCTGGCCAGGGTCTGCTTCCCTTCCTGCCTGCCCATTGAGGGTGACAGAAAAGCACAGGAAGTTCAGTGATTCTGAGGGCAGAGAAGGATGTAATCGTCTTTGCAGAGAGGACTTTTCAACCCTCATTATTCTCTCTTTGGGAGTTAGTAGGTCATTTGCAAAAGGCATGGGAAGAGCAGCTGATGCAAAGGTCTAATAGTTTGGAAAACTGCTTAACCCTATTGCTCTATTTCTGGATGTTCCCCGATGGCTGAGGACTGGGGAGATAGATCCTGGTTTCCCGGGAGGTTTCCCATTTAGGAATACAGTGAAACCTTTGAAATCCAAAGGAATTAAGGAAAGAGCAATTGCAATTAGGGAACAGTCTTAGTACTTTTTAAGGATGATTAGGTCTATTAGTTTCAAGGACACAGGATTAGCAATTTGGATGGAGCCTAGTCAGGCCACCCAGGCTTCACCCAGAACACTGTTTCACCGAGGCTTCCTTTGACTATTTCCAAAAACAATAGAATCACTTTTCTGAAGCTTAGTCTGCTTTGTTCTTTCTTTCACTGGAGCTAAAAAATCTTCACCAGAACTGGAATCTGCTTTTGGTAAGGCTATCCTTTCCTTCTGGTAGTCACAGTGAGCAGGTATCTCCTCTTCTCCCAGGTGGATCTCAAATATCTATTGCTTGAACTCGCTAAAGGACATTTTGACATTTTGACAGTTATTTGGGGATAAGAGTCTCATGGACTTTTCTGTCTGGGCTGGTCTCAAACCATAATCTTTAGATCTCAGCCTCACGAGTAGTTAGAATTATAGGTGTGAGTCACTGGCACCCTGGTTGGATCTCAAGTATTTGAAGGTAGTTATGCACTAAATTGTCCTTTGCATCATTGTCTTGTTCAGGCTGACCATCCCAGAATCTTCAGCTACTATTTGTATGAAAAATGCCATCAACTCTAACTAAAAATATAATTGGCTATCTCTAGTGTCCACATTAATATCTAAATTAATACATTCAGAGAGTAGAGTTTAGGCATCCCAATACTGGCCTTGTTACTTTATAAGTAATCAAAGTGAGATCTCTAAGGAACATGACTTCACTTCAGAGAGAGAAAAAAGAAAGAAACACAGAGAGATAGAGAAACAGACTGATAGAGGAGGAGAGGAAAAATGGAAGGGAGGTTTATTCCAGACCTTCTCCCTAGTTGTGTGAATCCTAATTCAGGGCTTTGTTCATTTGCACCCTGCCTCTTGTTATTCATGAGACACTAGTACTTCTCAAGTTCTTGAAAGGGCTTGGGAAGCTGTTCTCTTAGGTGTTTCAAAAATTCCTCCTTCAAGTTGTATTTGTACTGTCAATAAAGGAGAGATCAGCATGCGAGAGCTGAATATTGTGGAGGTTACACCGTCAATGAAAAATATTTGTAGTGAATGAATCCTCCTGGTCTTCTGTTGTGGGAAAGTCAGTGTCCTTGTCCTAGATGGCCATTTCCAAAGGGACAGCACACCTTTAGGGCCATCCAGGACAAATTCCAGCCACTCATCCAATGTAGGAGATTTTCTTAATTTGGTAATGTGGATGAGTTCACTAGGACCTGGGGCAGCCTGGGTTTCTGCTTTATACCCTGTTGCGTTCACTTTAAAGTTTCATATCCTCTTTTCAGTTTTGCCTGATTGTCTGATAAAAGATGAAGCAGAGACCCAGAGAAGCAAACTAGGCATTTCAGTGATTGGTTTCCTGTCTCGTCCTCAGCCACCCTGCAGTCACATGCCTCAGAGAGAACATTCCTCCCTGCCCCAGCCCACAGCAATCTCCTCTTCTCTCAACAAGGTATTGCATTTCCAGTTCTTACACTTGTTTTGGCACATGCTGTAAGCTGCCTGCCTCACTCTGCTTCCTGGTTTGCAAGGGTGCTGGGCTCTGTGGATTCTGGAATCATATAGAGCTACATTCTACTATTGACTCTCAAACTAACTGATTATATAGCTTTGGAAAGTTACCTAACCTTTCTGAACCTCAATTCCCTCATTTGTTAGATGAGGACAAATATCTTACCCATTGCATAAGGTTATAATGGTGACAGAGTATCTAACAAGAACCTAACATAGGCTCTAACATTAAAGGTTGAGCTCATAATATGTCTGTTTATTATTAATATTATGGTCCAGAAAGGAGAGATGGGAGCCTATACTTGGTGCTACACATAGCAAATGTGCCATAAATACTTGAGGATTGATTCTGGTGTTGGCTTTATTTGGCAGTAAGTTCACTGACACTTTCATTTTAAGCACCACATAAGGACAATTCCTATCCCCTGGCTCTTTTTTTCCCCCTAGATTCTCCAGTAATTATCTCTACAGGCAGGTCCACCCATCCTGCCACTGTTCACACCTGTCAGCTTGCATCTCAGGATAAAGTTCTCATTTGACAGACTCTGAGAACTAGCTGTCCAGGCAAAGAAAACTATGATGATGACTCCAACTCACGCCTTATGCAACCACTATGTCAGCCAACAGAGAGACAGGGACAGAGATGGACAGAGGAAAACAAAAGAAAGTAAAGCAAGGAATGACCATAGACCACCGGGCTCTTGCTACCCAAGGTGCTTAAAATGGAAACGTTTTGCATCCAAAGTATTCCTAAAGAGATTCATATATGGTCACACTTATTTATAGTTGGGAGCCTGAATCAATATTCAGCTTAATTTTGGCTAAAATTTTAACCAAAATTTTATTGGCTGATCCTATAGCATATATATGTATATATGTATTTATGGGATAGTATTCATAAGATAGGTAGTTAGATCTGTCGGTGTGATTTAGAAATAATGACAGACAAGTTTCCAACTTTTTTTTTTTTATTAAGTCAAAACATTATGAAAGAAGAGATGTGGCTCACGTGGTAGAGCACTAGCCCTAAACAATAAAAAGCACACAGACCCTGAGTTCTTCAAGCCCCAGAACTGCCACACACATACACACAGACTTTGGACATTTCTACCAGACATAGTTTGATTTGAGATCACAGAGTAAAGGATTTCTTAGCTTGCCTATATGCAGAGAATATCCTGGTGGACTTTGTCACATGAAACACACCACACCATCCTTTCTCTTGAATTGCAGATTGTCTACTCCCTGAATTTTGTGCAGAGGACCCAAGAGAAATAAAATTATCTACCAAAATGAATTGATTTTGGTGCATCCCTAGCTTCCACAATTGAAGTGAGTGGATATAGTAGCTCCTGGCATAGCATCATGGTCCCTGGCCTTAGCCTTGCTCTGATAAGAATTGGCCACTTACCTTGGACAGGTCACTCCCCTCCCTCCCCCCCCCCCCCGAGATTACTGGCTCTTCCAAATTGAAGATCTATGAGACTACAGAGAATGTGAAGTTTCACTGGAGACTCTCTCTTCTCCTGTCAGAGCAGGAAAGGGGAAATGATGACATATACGAAAACGGAATGAAACATATAATCACTAGATGGCATGCACTCCCGTTTGCCATGGTACCTTCCAAAAACAAGGACCTAGCCTTCATCTGAGAGGCCAGTCCTCTCAAAAGAACTCAGATGCCTCATTCACCAAGCTGACAGGAAGCAGAGAAGGCCAGTGCTTTTCTGGTTGAGGACTTCATCTAGGACAGAAGGGAAGATGAAAGTGGCCTCAGCTTCATGAGAAAGTGAAATGACAATGAATTCTCCAGGTTGATCCTTCCCAGCCCAGCATTAGCAGGGAGGATGATCCACTCCTAACCTGGGCCAAGCTCTGGCTCAGACACACAGGCAAAAAATAGAAAGGAGCTGCGAGAAGAAATAATTTCCCTCTGTGCCTATTAACAATATAATAATCTCTTGCAAATAGGTAGTAAGGACCCATGGGCCCTAGGTACATTGATTAACCCTCCTAAACAACCCTGGTGCTGACTTAAAACCTTCTTAATGTACCATGATCACTATCTGGGCAACTGGAGACCAAGTCAGAAGGCAGCATGATGAAGTGGAATTCATGCTGGCTGAGGGTCTGTCCCTAGAGGGGTGAACTGAGACAGAGTCTGTTCTAGAAGCACTTGTATTACCGAGCCTGTAAGCACTGGTTTCAATTTTCAAAATCTAAACCAATTTTTTATATCAGTGACTATTTGCTAGGGGTCCTTTCACCTTTCTAGGGTATCTGCTAATAGCTGAAGACATTTTTTCTTGTTATTATAATGTGAAGGATGCTATTGGCATCAAATGGATGGAGACACAAAAGCTGTAAAGCACTCAACAACTCATGGAACTATGCTACACAACAAAGATCTAGCTGGTCCAAAACGCTGATAGTGGTGAGGATCAGAAAGTCTCTTTTATATTGATGTCTGGAGAGTAGCGTCAAGGAGCAAAGAGAAAAGGAAGAGGAGTAGGGTAGAAGGAGGTTTACACTCTGTTTTAGGTCATGAGGTAGTCACCAGTGTTTTCCAGCTCTTCTTTCTATGGCCAAGGCTTTGGATTTTCCTTGGAATTATAGCGTTATGTTTGAATAGTTTCTGCACAAGCACATCTTTATCCTGAATAAGCCAAACCCCAATTCAGGACAAAGGGCTCTACTATAAGACACAGCAAAGATATAAATATGCACAATTATTAAACAAGTAGAACTGGAAGGTGGGTGGTGGGGGCATGTGGAAGCACAAAACATATGCCCATAACTCTGTTTCTATGAGTCACTGTTACCTAACAGCACAGAATAACAACTGTAGGACGAGCTGAACTACCCTGAGAGCAGGCAGGACTGATCTGGGGCAAAAGGGTTAGGAGAGATAGTTTGCAGCTGTAGATTCAAAGGCACATGGAAAGATTAAGCAATCAGTGCATGTCACTCTTGTATCATTCCACATTAAGCCACTGGGCAGTTATCACAAATAGTTACCTGTGGTTTCCAGTGGGAGAGGCAAGGACACTCCAGTCAAGAGGTTTTGGAGAAACAGGTGCAATGAAGTCATGGTCAAACAATTTATTTACTGTAAACTTTAGACTTTGCTCAGAAAAACAACTGAAGCTGTCCCTCAAATCCCTGCCTACCACACTCCATTTGAGCAAATAAGAGGAGCTGGGGAAGAGTCCACATTCACAGCTGAAAAAAAAAAGTCCCAGATACTCAGGATTTTTCAAGTCCGAGGGTGCAGGAAGGAAACTCTTCAGATACAAATTTCCAGCAGCAATATGTTACCCCCTAATACTTGACCAATGAGGTAGATACATGGAAAGATCATGGAAACATAAAGACCCAGGTCCTCTAGGACCAATGCCTTTCAGACATACACATAAGTTCCATGCAAAAAAAGGAACTGACCTGTACAAGACACAAATAACCACTCAAATACATATTTCTCTCTATCTCTTTTACAGCTTAAAAAAATAAAAAAAAGGCAGAAGGATGCCCTCCTCTTGAAAAAAAATTCTCTGTACAATTTTATTCTAACTTTATTACACTCACGTTAAATAGTCTGGTTAGTGTTCTGTGGTGGGGAGAGGAATCTTAAAAAGTAGAAAACCTGCATCACAGCAGTGAGTCATTTGTGCTACAGTTCCTCCCTTGGGAATCAATGCTATCGCTAGCCACAGTACCTTGACAGTTCCCAAAGTCTTCCATGGCTGGGGGGTCCTCACACAGCAGTTCGTCTTCCTTCTCCTGCCCCCGGGGACAGCCACTCTGCTCCCCTGGGTAGTCCGTCTTGCCATTGCTGTTGCTGGAGTAGCCATTCCCATAGGCCTTCAAAGAAGACCCGCGCAGGCACAGAAGCTCCTGGAAGGCAATCCTGAAATCCGGGCTCCGGCAGTAGATCAGGGGATTGAAGGCCGAGTTGACATAGCCCAGCCAGTTGAGGAGGATGTAAACTTGCTTAGGGATGAGGTTCTCCTGGATGGAGTTCACGACGTTGACGATGAAGAAGGGCAGCCAGCAAAGCGTGAAAATGCCCATGATGATGCCTAAGGTCTTGAGGGCTTTGTGCTCCTTCAGACAGAACTTGGAGGACCTGCGGAGTCCGTGCCCGCTCCGCCCATCCTGCTCCACCTGGCTGAGGTTTTGGGCGTGGAATCGACCCTCGGATTTGTCAATCTTCTGGAGCTGCCTTTTGGCTACCTGGAAGACCCTAGAGTAGACAAACACCATGACCACCAGAGGCAAATAGAAGGACACGATGGAGGAAGCAATGGCATAGGCCCGGTTCGTGAAAAAGTCGCAGCAGGTCTCCTTGGCGTAGCATTTGATGGCGTCCAGGTTGGAGGCCCTGTACCAGTGCATCTGGATAGGTAAGAAAGAGGTAAGACCCGACACAATCCACACCATCAGAATGACGACACGGGCCTTATTCTTGGTCAGCAGGCTCTGGTACTTGAAGGGGGAGGTGATGGCAAAGTAGCGGTCCACGGCAATCACACACAGGGTCTCGATGCTGGCCGTGACACACAGCACGTCGATAGCCGTCCAGAACTCACACCAGAAGTTGCCAAAAGTCCACATCTTCATGAGGATGTGACTGGCCCCGAAAGGCACCACGGCCAGGCCCATGACGAGATCCGCACAGGCCAGGGAGGTGATGAAGTAGTTGGTGACCGTCTGCAGGCGCTCGAACTTGGCCACGGCGGTGATGACCAACACGTTGCCAAAGACGATGGCCAGGACGATCAGCGACATGAGCATGGCCATGCCCACCACCCACGCCTCGTCCCGCTCCTCCGTCAGGTCCTGGTCCGGCGCGTGGCTCGCGTTGGGCGCCAGCAAGAAGTCGCTGTCGTTCCCAGGTGGCCCCATGGCTGGGCGAGCTGGCAGGTGAGCGCGGCCCCGGCGGGCTGCCCGCACCCTGGCCGGTCTCAGCGGGCGCACCTCCGGCGGGGCGCGGCGGGCCGGGCGCGGACGCCTGGAAGCCTCATTCAGCAGCCGTGGGGTGGGTGTGGTGGGGTGGGGGCGCGTCCCGCACACACGCAGTCTGTGGGGTGCTCCTGGCTCGCGCGCTCGGTGCCCGCGATCGGGAGAAGTCGCCGCGGAGTGCGCCCTGCCCGTTATGTGCCGCGGACTTTAGGAGGCCTGCCCTCCCCGTGACGCGCCGCAACTTTCCGCCAATCGCGGCCCCGTACAGCCTGGGCGGGGCGAGGAAGAGCTCCCCCCCCCCCCCGCCTCCCTCGCCGCCCCTCCCTCCGCCCCGCCTGCCCCCTCCCGGGCTGGCTCGGGCGGGGCCCCGGCAGCTCCCCACCGGGCGGGCGGGCCGCCGCTCCCTCCCTCCTGGCTAACCCCTGCCGGCCCTGGGGGCCAAAGCTAGGGTTGCTGCACTCACCTGCCCACGCAGGTGCTCTGGGCTCTGGCGCGCGGAGTGTCAGCCCTGCTTGGACACACCCCCTTGAGCCAAGGTCAGGGGGAAGCCAGAGGTCACTCCCCCGGCCTTCGGAAAAAAGACACTAGAATGCCCACCGAGACACGCACACACAGGCACAAAGGCTCCGCGACGGACAAGCTCAGACTTATACCGAACCACAGCCACTGACACCGAGACACACCCAGCGCACCGACCAGCCCACTCGCCTGCTCACCCAGGAAACGAGAGGCACAAAGCCACCCTGTCCCACGCCGCGGAGGAGACACGACCAGAAGCTAACACTGAGGCACAAAGGTATGAGCGCACACACACACAGGCGTGCGCGCGCACACACACACACACACACACACGCACTCACACACACACACTCACTTGGAAGCAAGCAGAGCCTAGCATGGATGTTGGTAACCAAGTACTCCCCTCCCTTCCCCCAAACACACACACAGGACACCCTTTCCCCCCCACCCCCAATCTCACCCCCACCACCCTGGGACACTCAGTGGATTCCCTTTCAAACATTTGGCCGGGGGCACAGGAGGTGACTTCAACAGCGGCTGATTTCCTCAGCACACTCCAATGTCAGTACTTTTGGTGCCCTCCTTTGGGAATTTGAAGGCATTGAGGTAGACAGTTTTACTCTTCGGATGGCATTTGTAATTGAGGTATGCATGCTTTGTGAGAGAAAAGGGAACACCTTACGTGGTTTTGTTATTCTTGCGCGTTGTGGGTATCACTCCCTTGTGCTCTGTCAGATAACCAGAGATGCATTGAATGTGAAAATGGAATAATTTTAATTTTCTTTTCAAACATGTCTTCAGCAACGTCATTTCAACAAAAAAATGTTTGGATCCTTTCATCTGGAGGAGAACTTATCTATTGGGTTGTGCATAGGAAATTGCTGTCATTTGGCTGTCTCTGATTTACAAAAGTGTCTTTTAATATTAGGTTGCTAATATTAAAAATATTATTAGCTTTGAAAAACATTTTGAAACTACAGTGTAAGCCTTAACATCAAATCTGTGGTATATTATCCTTTGCAACTGGTATATGACTTTATCATTAAAAAAAAAAATTCTCCGGGTTGATTTCCCATGTATTAATGGTGTCTTTGAAAAACTGAAAGTATTTCATGCAGTGTGACCAAACATATTTTGTAGGTTACATAATAACATAACAATAGCTAACAGTTATGGAACATTTTGCTATGTGCTTTTCATGCATTATTGCATTAATCCTTCCCACAGCTCATGGACCAGGGAGGGACTATTTTTAGCTTACTTCATCTATGGGGCTGAACCAAGCAAATAGTTTGCCAGGGGCCATAGCCAGGCAATGCTAGAGGTTGGATTTTAACTCACATCTGCCTGATTTTAGCATCTAGTTTTTAATATATTCAATGAGCTGCGTTATTCCATGCAGAAAAGAGTGGAGGACTGGAAAGGAACACTAAAGTAGAATTACAATTCCCAGGTTCCAGATTCTCCTGACTTGGAACTTGCCTGTTCATTCTTCTTAGGCAAAACACAAAGAGGGAGACTAATTTCCTCTATCTGTAAAGGGAAGGGGGATTCACATCCTTTATGAAGTAAAATGAGAATTAAACAACAAATGTGAAAGTGATTTTGCACATAGTAATGTGCAAAATATATCTAGAATCCATTGCTAGTCTCCTCTACCAGAACAACAAAATACTTTAGGAGCTTATTCAGAGGAAGATTTAAGAAACAAAATGTAACCTACATGTCCTGTTAAACATTCTTCAAGAACAGAAACTATCATCTTGCAAGACATACACACCTTGAACAAACACATATTTCCCATTAAAGTCACAAAATATCAATTAAGGATCTCTGTGTTCACATCATTTTCAAAATATCCCCACCTTCTATTTGTGTTTTCCAAAATTGGCTCTGGTATGATGTCTTTTAGGAAGAGGCAGTGTGTGTTACGCCACATCTCTTTAAGTACACATCTACCCTGAATTGTGGAACCAACCCATTTTAAACCTTTTTTCCTGTTTGTGAAACTATGGAATAAATAAGCATATTGTTTAACCCTCCCATACCAAAAAAAGAACAAAGAAAACCCTTTTAGGATAAACATTAGTCAATCATTTATTCAGATATAAACACAAATGACTTAACAGTTAAAATGAATATTTTAGGACACACCTGATTTTTTCTAGTCAGAAACACTAAATCAAGAAGGGGGAAACATTCCTCAGCTAGGAGGTCCCAAGCATTTGTCCATCAGCCTTAACAAATAGACAATAGTGCTTGGGCTCTCTCTCTCTCTCTCTCTCCTCACCCCTCCCAAGCTGGTAGGAATATCAGAAGTATGTCTTCTCACCAAGGGTCCTTAAAAATTCTATAATTAGAGAAAATTAAAATTGGAAAGACTGTACAGTATCATTTACTAGTCCCTCTAGTTTGGTTTGAACAATATTAGACTGCAGGGAAGGAATAGGAAGTGTATAGTCTTCAGTGGTGGGAAAATCAGGAGTCCTGCTCTCCTGCCTGGTGGCTTCACATAATTCCACTGCTCATCTCTGAGTTCATGTCCCAGTGAAGGAGTTTCACTACAACTGCTTACTGAAACTTGTGACCTTAGCTAATACTTCAGTTGGATAGAATGTTCTTAGTAGACTAAGTATACCTTTATCTGATGCAAGAAAACTTAGGCTCCTTTATGGTGATTGATAGTATGTAATTGCATATTTTGTCAATCCCTTAAGACACTTATTTGTCATTTCCTGCCCGCCAAATAGGAATAAGGAAGAAAAAAAAACACAAAACATGGTTTGATTTACTTAATGAGTGTTTGAACAGGAGAAAGTCTCAGTAGTGCCAGAGATTGCTCACACAATGATACCTAGACAATTTAGGAAAATCTCTTGTCTTAACAAGAGTCCTGTCTTCATGATTCCTGAGCAGAGAAGTATCTGTAGGTTTCTTTTGCTTAGCTTGTTTATCTTTAATTATATCTTTGCATGGTAATAGCCTATTAAGTTTACAATAAATGTGATTGAACAAATGTAAAGTTCTTAGTTAGCATACTGCTTTAGAGAAGAGATCCCTGAGGGCTGGGAATGTGGCTTCATGGTAGAGTGCTTGCCTAGCATGCATGAAGCTCTGGGTTCGATTCCTCAGTACCATATACACAGTGGTGCTCAAGTAGTAGAGTGCTAACCTTGAGCACAGAAAGGCTCAAGGACAGTGCCCAGGCCCTGAGTTCAAGCTCCAGGATTGGCAAATAAATAAATAAAGAGATCGCTATCACTATTTTCTTGTTTGGGGATTGAAAATTATAGAGAGACTACATATAATTCTGATCAAATCATGTGTGTAAGAAGACTCTGAAACTGACTAATGAGAAATTTATTCTAAATCTGAATTGGTGTGCAAAGCCATTGAATAATGGAGCAAAATCTTTATCCCTTAGAAAGAAAAATAATGATTCTGAAAATTGCCATCAACATTGGAGATACATGACAAGAAGGGATCACAGTGGTTTTGAGGGGAAACTTCTTAATCTAATTAGCTCTTTGTACAACTCTTAGAGAGCCATCCCTACTGAAGGCAAACTTACCAGCTTTATACACAGATGCATTTTCTTCTACTGTCCAAATTGAGTACTAAAAGAAGTCTTCTTGCTTCTGCCCCCTTGAGGCCACTAAAAACAAGTCTCTAAAACTGAGATTTGGGGAAAATCCCTCTAGGTTCTCCTGAGCAATCTCCCTTTCAAGTTTAGTACTCCTGTGTCTTGAGTGTCTGTGATTCAGTCTGTTGATGACTAAATGTAACACCAATACCTGGAAAGGTCCTAGAACAAGTTATCAAACAATCACTTTGTAATCCCCTTGGCAACCATAAAGTAGAGCAGAGCAACCAGCAAACCTTTCCAAACAGCTGATTATACAAGTTGAATTTAATTTCCTGCCATGCTAGAGGTTTATGAGAGACATGATAATAAATTCTCCACATTTCAGGGGCATTGAACAAAGGGAGATGGCATTGAATTTAAAGCAGGGGAAATTTAGTTGGCCATAGAAAGGACTCCTTGACCCAAGGAGAATTCATCATTCAAAGAGGATAATTCTTTTCAATTTGGATTTTAAAAGAGAACTAAGCCCTAGAGAAAATCATTATTGTTATTATTTTGTGGTAGAAGGGTTTATACTCAGCTTCACACTTGCTAGGCAGATGCTTGACCACCTGAGCCATGGCCCTGGACCTCTTTAGGTACTTTTCAAATAGGGTTTCAGATCATTTTTCATCCTTTTGGGTTAAGATAGGGTCTCATACTTTTTTCTTGGCCAGACTTAGATCATGATCCTCCTCTCCCTATCTTCCATGTAGCCGAGATTGCAGATATTAATCACCATGCTCAAGTTGTTCTTTGAACTTTTTTTTTTTTGGTCCACACTGTCTTTGAACTGTGATTCTCCTATCTCTGCCTCTCAGGTAGCTGGGATTATAGGCTTACATTACTACCAGAAAATTTGAGTGACTATGCTACCCAGTTCTCCCAAAGGTGGTACAGAGAACTATATTACTCTCTCAGGGACATAAAGGTAAGTAGGTCATTGCAAACAATGTACAGGCTA